GTAATTTTCTCATTTGAAAGATTTTCTGCTTAAGGATTTTTGAAATATAATTGACATGCTCATTCCAATTTAGATGTTGGTCAATTACAATGCCTAAGAGTTTGAATTTAGGGACGTTTTCAATTTCAAAATTGTTAATAGTGATTTTTAATACATTTTCTGAAGATTTAAGTTTATATTTTGAGCCTATTAACATTGATTTAGTTTTATTTTCATTAATTAGCATAGCATTTTTATGGCACCAGTTGATTACTTTGTTGGTTTCAGTTTGAAGCGTAGTGTTTAATTCTGTTATGTCAGAAGAAGAAGAGTGAATGGTTGTAGCTACCAGTTTAGGCCTGGTGTTAGGCTAGTTTTGATTACGTTTTTGTATGTAATTGACCTGATTACGTCGCTAATTTTGTGGGTACGTTGTTTTTGGAAAAGAAACGGCATGGCTGTCGGAATTTTATTTTTGATGTAAATTTGGACTTTGCTTGGACGTGTTTGTGTCAGGTTTGGTACCTAACACTTGGAAACCTACTATTACTACTACTATTACTACTATTACTATTATTACTACTTATTGGAACTGTTTGGAACTATTATTAGAATTTGTCTATGTGATGGCTGTCACGACAAAATAGATTCATGCTGTATGGTGTATTTTGAATATTATTATGGATGAAAATTATTTGTTCTAATCTACTGACTCTTTATTCCCGAATCCTGTTCGGCTGATTGATGAACCCCTCAAAAGTACTGTACAATCTGTACAATGGTTGTATCGTCGGCAAATAAATCACAATTACTAGATAAATTTAAAGGGAGATCATTAAATAAGTAAGTAGTCCTTTATACAAAACACCAAAAAAAGTAAAGCAGAAGTCTTTCACGAACATTTGTTTACATTTGTGTCCGTTATGTCATTGGAAGTCTTCTCTTTTTATATACGTTGACACTATTTTCTCCACATTACCCATATTTGTTAATATCGACAAAACTTCAAGAGCCTGTTGTTGGATATTACCATTTCGTTTACTCCGATTACTGTGTCGGATCTGATTTTCAATTATTTGATTGTTTTGCTAACTTTTGTGTGGACATTATGAATCAAGTCAGTTTTGATAATAACACAACTACTAGTAAAGCTTGAAAATGATAATAGAAGATCCAAATAATTCTGCTGTTGCTAGTCGTGGCCTTTTGGTATTCTTCAGAAATTGAGAGTCGTAGAAATATCAAGATAGCATTGAGGTAACAGTAATTTACATGTTGATTGGCTATTCAGTTAAAAATGTTAACATTGATGTTTTGGATATTGTGTCAACATGTCTCATCGGGTAAAGAAAACAAAACAATTCAAAACAGAAAATAATAAAATAACTAAAAACCTGTTGCGTTATGAATTAATTCAATTTGATAACATTTTCTTTCTTTCAGTATGTCATTTCCACTTTATTTATGTTTTTATTATTTGTCCTTTTTTCAAACGAAGGTGTTAAAGTTTGTATTTGTTTTACAACATTTAGGTTAAAGAGGTGAAAAAGTGTGCGGAATATTTCCATTTCTAATGATGAATCGTGAATATTCCGAATAAAGCAGGCTACAACTAAAGAATGTGATGAGTGACGGCATTTTTATACGCCCACACGTAAGTATGGGCGTATATTGCAGTTGCCTCTGTCGGTCCCTCCGTCCGTCCGTTCACATTTACAATTCTCCATGGATTCTTTTAATTTTTGTATGTGTGTCAATATCATTATGAAGATGTGCACTATTGAATTTGGTGATGATCCGATGGTTTTCTTTAGAGATATCTGATAAAACTCTGATATCGCTTTCGTTTTTATTTTACTTTTTATACGCCCACATATCAATAGCCGTCGCCCCTGTCTGTCTGTCTTGGTGTGAGTGTTTGTAATCACCCAAGGACGAACCCTATTGAAAATCAGATGAATCGAAAAATATTTACTATGAGTTATTGCCCTTGTTCTTGAATTGTTTGTGGACACGATAGAGTGCGGACATGATAGAGAGCTGGTTTCTTTATTTTTTTTTTTTGCGAAACTTGGTGTGAGTGTTTGTTATCACCCAAGGATGAACCCTATTGAAAATGAGACGAATCGAAAAATATTTACTATGAGTTATTGCCCTTGTTCTTGAATTGTTTGTGGACACGAAAGAGAGGAGGTTTCTTGATGGATTTTGACGAATCTTGGTGTGAGTGTTTGTAATCACCAAAAGATGAACCCTATTGAAAATCAGACGAATCGAAAAATATTTACTATGAGTTGTTGCCCTTGTTCTTGAATTGTTTGTGGACACGATAGAGAGCTGGTTTCTTGATTGATTTTGACGAAACTTTGTGTGAGTGCTTGTAATCACCCAAGGACGAACCCTTTTGAAAATCAGATGAATCGAAAAATATTTACTATGAGTTATTGCCCTTGTTCTTGAATTGTTTGTGGACACGATAGAGAGCTGGTTTCTTGATGGATTTTGACGAAACTTGGTGTGAGTGTTTTTAATCACCCAAGAAAGAACCTCTTGAAAATCAGACGAATCGAAAAATATTTACTATGAGTTATTGCCCATGTTCTTGAATTGTTTGTGGACACGATAGAGTGTGGACACGATAGAGAGCTGGTTTCTTGATGGATTTTGACGAAACTTGGTGTGAGTGTTTGTGATCACCCAAGGATGAACCTTATTGAAAATCAGACGAATCGAAAAATATTTACTATGAGTTGTTGCCCTTGTTCTTGAATTGTTTGTGGACACGATAGAGAGCTGGTTTCTTGATTGATTTTGACGAAACTTGGTGTGAGTGTTTGTAATCACCCAAGGATGAACCCTATTGAAAATCAGATGAATCGAAAAATATTTACTATGAGTTATTGCCCTTATTCTTGAATTGTTTCTGGACACGATAGAGAGCTGGTTTCTTGATGGATTTTGGTGAAACTTGGTGTGAGTGTTTGTAATCACCCAAGGATGAACCCTTTTGAAAATCAGACGAATCTAAAAATATTTACTATTAGTTATTGCCCTTGTTCTTGAATTGTTTGTGGACACGATAGAGAGCTGGTTTCTTGATGGATTTTGACGAAACTTGGTGTGAGTGTTTTTAATCACCCAAGGATGAACCCTATTGAAAATCAAACGAATCGAAAAATATGTACGATGGCATCCCTTGATACAGTGTTTGTTTTACAGTTCACATTTATCTCTTTATCAAGCTGCTGGTGGGCGTATTCGCTTACGAGACTTGCCGCAAGCCTATGTTATTTAATCAGTTTGTCGCTGGAATGCTTTACGGAATATTTATTTATTTCTTCACAGTTTGAAAATATTTGATAACGAAATAACAAATATTAAGGTTATATTATCAAGCCTATCAAAAATATTGATATAAACTTACTCATCACCAATTTTTGATTACATTAATTGTATCTCTATTAAATGTGATCAGATCCAGTACTTGGGCGAATCTATCCCTTTAACACAACCTTGAATCGCTGTACATAATATCGTTAGAAAAAAACAGATTGACATTCTTTGAAATTTATTCATTTTAATATACGCTTCTTTGAATCTTTTTTTTTTCGCTTTATCTGAAAAATTTGTCTTCATTATTAAAATTAATCCAGCTTATCTTCTATCATTATTCAGTAAATGAAAAAAAAATTTGACAAATATAGGAAGGCAGAATAAAAAAAATTCAAAGTGATAACTACGCCAGATATTTTGAAATCAGAAACCCAAGGACAAATCAGTTGCCAGGCCCATTGTCCTTCTCATTTCAAAGATATTCGAGAGCAGAAAATTACAGTTGGCTTAAATGTACAGATCAATCCTTAGTTCTTTAACCTTGTTTGTCTATGTGTTCAAATATGCAAATAATAATAAAACTTACTATGATAGTTACTTCAGACTTAGAAGCTTTAAAATGATCTAAGTGATGAAAGAATCGAAAAAACAAAAAGTTGAAATACAAATTCATATACAAATGAGTAATTACATATTAAAAGAAAATATGTCAATATTACCACGTGGCTATTTAAATATTAGAGGCTGGTGTTCTGAATATATCTGTAGTTGTAAATATTTCTTGTATGATCAGATTATGTCGGACTATTGCTTAGCATGGAGAATTTAATCGTGTTCTGTAGCGGAAATCTTTGCTTAGCCAATCAGAAATAGCACGTGCATTACGTCATTTATTAGTCGATCAGCCATCTTTACATATTATCATTTTCATTCATAGTCATCATTCATCGTTCATATTTAAGTCGTAGTGACCTAACATCACTTTAGGGCAGGAGGAACACCATTTCCAGGTATTATATTGATGAATTAAGCATTTGTACGCATCTATAATGTATCGGTTATACATAATATCATTTTCAGTAAGAATGAACTAGAAATTAGCTTCCCGGTCCCGGTCAAGTGCAATAGTCCTGTCCAATATTTTAAGTCTCATATTTATGTCGATGTCCATGTCATATTATTGCTCATTTATTATTAAGGTCTATAATGTGTCAATTTACTATATTTTTAGTCATTATGCTCATATTTTATGTCATATTAGTAATTTACACTGTCTCCTTTTAGCATCGTCTGCTATTTTGAGACTGTAAGTCATACAAGCTACTGCGCTATTTTAGTGTCATATTAGTCTGTCAGTGTCAGTATTTGTCATTTATGTCATTTCAGAATATAGAAGTCTGTATACTGTTCACAAAGAAACTATGTTCGCCAACAACTAGGCCTAGTCAATAAAATAAAGTCATAAAGTCATCATTAGTCGTCAAGTCGTTTTTCTTTCGTGAACTGTATATGAACAGATATGTCGATAATCAGTTTCATATTACGGAATACCAGTCTGCCACATAATCCTGCAACATAATTGATATCGCCAGGGATCAACAACACAGTTCTGGAAATGTTCTCATCAAATGGTTAAAGGTCTTTAAGAACCAATTGAACGTGCTGTTAACTAGAATATCACGTCAAAGATGTCAGGTCAAGGTCAAAGTCAAGATATTCAAGAACCTACGTCAGTAGAGAATGCACAGATAGATGAGAGCGTGGATGATAAAATTACAGCTCTACGCAACCAAATGAAGCAATTACGTGGAAAGCTTACCCGCTCAATCAGCCGTGTTCAAACCAATATAAGAAAGGGTGAAACTGACTCTAAAAGATTAAAAAGGGAACTTAAACAAATAGTTCGCGATAATGAACAGTGCTCATTTGTTCATGGTGAAATTTATGAACTAACAGATCCAATTGATCATGGTCGACTTGATCAATGGGAGGCTGAACTGAACAATGATTTCTTTATTATTGACGAAATAATTAATGAACAATTAAAACCCATTGCTGATGATTCATCAACCCCGTCACATGATAGTGAGTCAAGTCAACAATCTCCTAATGGGAAGATACAGTCATTGCCTACCCCTAGTCGAGATCATCAAGTTCCTGTCGAGTCAAATAAGTCCAGTCAGCAGTCTCAGTCACTGTCCCAGTCAGTAGATGAAACATCAGATCACTTGTCAGAATCTGGAAGAGTTGTGTCAGAAATAAAGTCAGATGTCAAAGTCAAGGTTAAAACAGTAGATTCCTGGATTGATGAGCTAATCGAGTTTGAGGAAACCGTTCATAAAGATATCAACGCCAATTTGTCAATGTCACAGCTCTCTAGGGTGAATGGAGAGAAGCCAACTATTCATCATATGAACACTTTTCTACGTGCTGTGGTTAAAGCAGAGTTTGATCCAGACTTTGGAGATATTAAAAGGTCAGGTCCGTCCAAATCGAATGCAGTGCAGTCTAGTCAATTTAGGAAGTCAGTGTACGCCACGTCATGGGAAGATGGTGGTGAGTTACCAAGACGTCAAAATGTCAGAAACTGTTCTTTGTGTCACGGAGATCACCAATTATCAGACTCTGATAAGTTTAAAAACGTAGACATTAAACGAAAGTTCGAACATGTCACGTCGCAACATTTGTGTTTCGCATGTCTCACAGGAGGTCATAATATCTTTCGTTGTCGCAGAAACAAACCCTGTGGTGTTAATAACTGTCAACGTTCCCATAGTAAACTTTTACATTCAGAGCCTCTGATATCCAGTTCAGTGTTAGACCGTCGATCTATGCTACCTATTGTCAGAGTATCGTTTAAATCACCAAATGGTAGAGTCTTGCGAGGTAATGTTCTTATAGACAGTGGTTCAGGAACGACAACTATCCGCACTGGTTTCTCTAAAACCTTAGGTCTACAAGGCAGACGAGAACGAATAGACATTTCTGTTGTGGGTGGTCATCAATTCTCACAGAATTATAGTCGACGAGTCAAGTTCAAGATAGTAGCATTGGATGGTGTAGAAAAGTTTAATATAGAAGCTCATGAACTAGATAAGACTATTGTAGATGTTCCAGACTTAGATAGAGATTGGTTGCAGTCATTTAATCAATTAAGGGGACTCAATTGAGTCAAGTTCAAGATAGTAGCATTGGATGGTGTAGAAAAGTTTAATATAGAAGCTCATGAACTAGATAAGACTATTGTAGATGTTCCAGACTTAGATAGAGATTGGTTGCAGTCATTTAATCAATTAAGGGGACTTAACTTCAGTCAAACATCTGGTCCAGTTGATCTTATACTTGGAGTCCAATACACCCATCTGCATTTTGATGTGGAAAGACGCCTTGGTCTACCCTATGAACCTTTAGCCAAACGTTCACTACTTGGATGGTACGTAATCGGTCCTGTCAAGTAAACGTCTAGTCAATTGTCAGCAGTCACAATCTGTCATGTCGAAAGAGTCAACTTTGAGAAGTTCTACGAGTTCGAGTCACTTGGTATCAAAGCACTGGATTGTCAATGTCTTAAAATCCAGATGTCACGTCAAGATAAACAAGCCTTGGAGTCATTTGAGTCAACATGTCATATAAATGGTGAAAGATACGAGATAGGATTACCATGGCGGAAAGATCCTAAACATTTACCAAACAATTACGATCTGGCTGAGAAACGTCTTATCTCACTAGAAAAAAGAGATCCATTCAAATCACGTCTCTACAATGAAGTTATGGAAGATTACGTTAACAATGGATGGTCACAGATAGATCAGCCAGTTAGTCCAGTCTACTACTTGCCTCATCAGGGAGTTTATCGCCCAGAGAAGGTCAGCACACCTTTAAGGATAGTCTTTGATCCAGCCCATGAATACAAAGGTGTAAGTCTGAATTCATTCCTGCTAAAGGGACCATGCTTGATTGGTAACCTGTTTGCAGTACTTCTTCGATTCCGTGAGGAGCCTGTGGGAATTGTTGGAGATATTTCTAAGATGTTCCTGCAAGTTCTCCTACCCGAGCAAGAGAGCCAAGTTCATCGCTTCTTATGGAGAAACTTATATGTCACCAAGAAACCTGATATTTATCGTCTGCTTAGAGTCACCTTTGGAGACAAGTCGTCGCCTGACATGGCAAGCTTCGTCATTAATAGAATAGCTTCTGAACACCAGTCTACTTTTCCAGAAGCATCAGCCATCCTCCAAAGAGATCGATATATGGATGATTTGATCCACTCATGTCAAAGTCAGTTAGAAGCAGACGAGAGAATAATATAACTCAACGAAATCCTTGAAACTGGAAAGTTTCAAATAAAGGAATGGTATCGTTCGTCGAAATCAACTTCCTCATCCGATGAAGTCAACTTAGATGGTGAAAATGAGTTAAAAACGCTTGGTCTAGGATGGAATCCAGTCACAGATGTCGTAAAATTTACAGTCAAGCCAGTTAATGTCAACGTCTTTACCAAAAGAATCGTCTTGTCTAAAACACTATTTGACCCACTAGGTCTTGCTACTCCAGTCACTGTCAAGATGCGCATGGCTATGCAGGAAATATGGAGAAACAAAGAACTAGATTGGGATGATCGTCTGTCAGAAGAAGAGAGTAGGATATGGTCCATATTATTTGACGAAATGTATTGTCTCAACACCTTGTCATATCCGAGATGTCTCAAGCCTAAACAAGCCCATGGTCTACCAGAGCTCCATACGTTTTGTGACGCTAGTCGAAGAGCCTACGGTGCTGTTGTCTACATTGTACGGTCTACGTCAAACGGCCGAGAGATCCAGCTCGTCACATCTAAGGTTAGAGTATCACCCTTACGTCAGTCTACTATTCCACGTTTGGAGTTGATGGCAGTCCTTGTCGGAAGTCGTTTAGCCAAAACCGTGTTGAGAGTCAAGCCTAATAAAGTCGTCATATGGTCAGATTCACATGTAGTACTACATTGGATAGGGTCAGAGTCAGTCAACATGAAACCCTTTGTAGGAGTCCGTGTCACGGAAGTTCAGTCAACCTGGGACTTTCAATTATGTCCCGACAGAGTTAAACCCAGCAGATGATCTGAGCAGGGGTCTAACGGTTGATAAAATGCCAGAAAGATGGATGTCTGGTCCCGAATTTCTCAAACGTCCCGAGTCAGAATGGCCAGCACAGCCTACCTCATTGCCAGTCACAGATGAAAGTGAATTAAGGAAAGTCAAGCCTATATTGTCTGTAGTCCAGTCCTTAAGTCCTATAACAGATCCACAGAGATTTTCTAGTTATTCCAGATTGCTGAGAGTAACATCCTATTGTACAAGATTCATCGAAAGGTTAAAGGCAAAGGTACAGTCGAATCATCCGTCAGTAGACGGTCAAGATCTAACTAGCCAGTTAACGTCAGAAGAGATTGACAGATCAGAAGATTATTGGGTCAAGGTAATTCAAAAGTCACTATTGAATTACGAGGAAAACTTTAGAGATTTATGTCCTTATGTCGAAAATGGTGTGGTCAGAGTCGGGGGTCGATTACGTCATATCGCCTTATCATATGATCAACGTCATCCAGTCTTACTTCCTAGAGATAGTCATGTCGCAGAATTGGTTATTAGAGAGTATCATCAGAAGTCTGGTCATGCTGGAGCCGAGAGAACTCTTGCAGACGTCAGGCAAAAATACTGGATACCCCATGGTCGAAAAGTCGTCAAGAAGGTCGTCAAGTCCTGTGTGGTCTGTCGAAAGCTACGCCAGATACCATGTCAAACTTTAATGGGAGATTTTCCAGCTGAAAGGTTAAGACCTTTATCTCCTCCATTTACTACTACTGGAGTAGATCTATTTGGTCCCTTTATGCTGAAGTATGGTCGCAACAAATCCATAAAGGCATGGGGAGCTATCTTCACTTGTTCAACAACTAGAGCCATACATCTGGAAATTGTCCAGGATTTGTCTACACAATCCTTCTTATTCGCCTTGAGAAGATTTTCAGCACATCATGGATGGCCTAAAACGTTCATCTCGGACAATGGTCCAATTTCATAGGAGCCCAGAAAGAGCTAGCCAAACTTTTCACAGAGGGACGGAAGCAGCTTGAAGAATTTGTTGTCGTCCATAGAATAGCTTGGAAATTCATAACTCCTTTAAGCCCACATCAAGGAGGATTTTACGAAAGTCTTATTAAACAAGTCAAGAAGAATATACAAGTTGTCATTGGTCATCAGATCCTGTCATGGAATGAAATGTCAACAGTCTTTGTCGAAGCCGAGAGTTTGATAAACAGTCGTCCTTTAGGATACACCAAATGATCCACAACCAATTACTCCGAACCATTTCCTTCTTGGTCGAGCAACAACTGAAATACCTTCAGGTCCGTTCGAAGAGACAAAGGATTTTCGGAAGAGATATCTTTTTGTGCAGTCCTTAATCAATTTATTTTGGAATAGATTCATACGGGAGTACATCCCAACACTTCAGAGACGTTCAAAATGGCTGACCAAAGGTCGTCAGATGAAAATAGACGATGTAGTACTACTGATTGACAATTCTTGTGCAATAGCTAAGTGGAATTTAGCCCGAGTTATTGAGGTTTTTCCGGGTCCAGATGGTCTCATCTGGAATGTGTTAATAAAAAAACAACATGGGGAATATAAGCGATCTATTCAGGAATGTGTGCTCATTTTGGAATCATAGACTTTTCTTTCGTCTCCCCAGGGTTGTTCTGAATATATCTGTAGTTGTAAATATTTCTTGTATGATCAAATTATGTCGGACTATTGCTTAGCATGGAGAATTTAATCGTGTTCTGTAGAGGAAATCATTGCTTAGCCAATCAGAAATAGCACGTGCATTACGTCATTTATTAGTCGATCAGCCATCTTTACATATTGTCATTTTCATTCATAGTCATCATTCATCGTTCATATTTAAGTCGTAGTAACCTAACATCACTTTAGGGCAGGAGGAACACCATTTCCAGGTATTATATTGATGAATTAAGCATTTGTACGCATCTATAATGTATCGGTTTATACATAATATCATTTTCAGTAAGAATGAACTAGAAATTAGCTTCCCGGTCCCGGTCAAGTGCAATAGTCCTGTCCAATATTTTAAGTCTCATATTTATGTCGATGTCCATGTCATATTATTGCTCATTTATTATTAAGGTCTATAATGTGTCAATTTACTATATTTTTAGTCATTATGCTCATATTTTATGTCATATTAGTAGTTTACACTGTCTCCTTTTAGCATCGTCTGCTATTTTGAGACTGTAAGTCATACAAGCTACTGCGCTATTTTAGTGTCATATTAGTCTGTCAGTGTCTTATTATTTGTCATTTATGTCATTTCAGAATATAGAAGT